TATTATTATTATTATTATTATTATTATTATTATTATTATTATTATTTAGGTTCGTAAACTCTTTAAAATTAAGTAGAAGATTTGTTGAAAAAAAACCAAAAAATTAAATAACAATATAAATATCTTACCTATACCTCTAGACTTGCAAAAATGTAATTTAAAGTCTTTAACAAAATAAAGAAAAAATATTTATTTATGGTCGACAATTCAGCGATAAGATCAATCTAATTTTAATTAATCACAGATATTTTTTTGATGAGATTTACACCATAAAAGTAATATCAACTGACCCAAAAATACATAAGAATAAAATAGAATAATAGTAACATTTTCAATAAGTAGTCAATGATTAACCTTTTCATAAATAAAAATAACAGAGAATACAGAACACAGATTAAAATTCATTAAAAACAATAATCATCTAACTTATTAATTGATCAAGACAATTATGTCAATAATTTAACATATGAAGTACTTTCATAACTAATATATGCAGCAGACGAAAGACTGAACTACTTCTTATCAAACTAACAAGAATCTTAATAATAACCTTCTAAATAAGAAGAGTAAAAAGGTGAAATAAATGAAGTTTAAACTCTGGCCCATATAAAAACCTAGAATTCTACCGTTCACATATATACTCTTGACATTAAGGAAAAACCCCTGATAAGAACATTTGCTCCAAGTCTGGAATTTATAGGGGAGTAAATAATAGCATTAGTAATAAAGCCCCCCCCATAATAAACACACAAAGAATAATAATAACTTCAAACTAAGTAAATCCATTTTAGTTAAAACAAAAACAATATCAACTCATAACATTATTAAATAACAGTAGTAGTTTGGAATATTTCCTCTTTTAACCAACCACTTTACAAATAATAAAAGAAAATGATCCCGCCATTATTTGTCTTCAAGAAACTCGATAGATCATAAACACATCTCCTAGATACAATTTCATTAATAAATTACATAGCGAACATTTTTAAGGCGGAGGAATAAGTATAGGTATTCATAAATAATTCATATGCAGAGACATTTCTCATTTATTCAAATTAGATGAAATTGAATATTTGTTAGTTTAAAGCACAAAAATAATGTAGAACTATATTTTGAATATCCACTCTGCCAATTCTAATTCTTTCAGAAACTAATAAGAAAAATTGCAAATCTTCATTGTTCAGCTTAAAACCAAGAAACCAAATGCTCTTAAAATGATTGTTAGAGATATTAATAATAGTGCAGTTAAGCTCACAGGTATGATAGATTTAATCCCAAAGTATTAAATTACCTACTAAAGATATGCCAAGTACAAACTTCTATATTCAAAAACAGACATTTTTCAAAACAATTAAGAGCTTTCATCTTCAATTAGCTTTGCAAAATAATCTATCTGATCATACATTAATAATTTGTTTATTAAATTTGAAAAAAAACCTAAAAAGTAAAAAGTAATATAATTTCATAATAAACAAGGAGTAGGTTTATTTATTAAATTTGAATTAGATTTTAATCTTAAATTTTTCTTCTTGTTAAAAATTTTCAAATAGCTATTGAAAAAGGTTTAATCACAAATGATAAGAAATTTGGACTGAATGATATTGGCCTTATAAAATCACAGCAGTTCAATTACTGTATTATATAAAGGAATAAATGAAGTTTGCTTTATAGATCTCAATATAGGTTGAAGCTCAATATTATGGAAATATGAAAGGGTATTATAGTAAAAGTATGGGATTGAGTTTTGAAAGTACATAAAATATACACAGAGGAAAAGTATAAATTGAACTAACTGCTGTTAGACAATATTTACTATTGAATTAACTGCATAGTCGCCTAGTCTATAAGAATTATTAACTGAAGTTGTTGTTCAAAATCAAATTACAGTCATAGAGTTGACACACAATTATCAAATCTTACTTACTTGTAGCTTTATCATTTGGCCATTCTTCACATCTTAGGTTAAGAATTTTATTAATGGAAATTTGACCATAAGGCTATCATAGATAAAGATACAATTAAATATGAATCATAAGCTAATGAATTAGTACTCAGCATTCATAAAATAAAATTATTTAGAAAATAATTACCTAAATTAGATGAATATATTTACCATTGATGATATTATTTATCAATATAAAGAGTATTTTTATATTAACATTGAGATGAACTACTCTTAACATTACTTAATGAATGATTGGAAATTTTAATTTAAATGGAATCTAAGTTTATAGTCATGTCGAAATGAATTTTAGAAGTTGAGTTTTAATAAAATTTTAATTGTGAGGATAGATTTTATTGATTTTTGAAATTATTTCAATGTCAATTGATATACATAAAATAATCAGAATTCCATGTAATTAAATTTAGTTTGATTATTTTATTAAAGTAGGATTTCTGATTAATTTAATCATTTTTTGATCATTTATTTTATCATATTACAAATAATGAATCTCAGTAATATTTTATGTAGTTTCCATTTACTTTAATTTTAAAATTGTTATTCTAGCATATTCACAAAAAGATATTTATAAGCTTAATTTAGGAAAATATAATTACAAAGATCATTTTAAGAGAGAAGTTTTTTTTTGAATTTCAATATTATTGAATAAATAGAGGATAAAAATTAATTATCCTAAGAGTTAAAAATATAATTTTATTTAATATTAAACTAATAAAGCATAAAGTATTATTCTAAAATTTAAATGTTTATTATATTAAAATTTAATTATTCATAATTGTGTAAATAGATATTATTACAAAGAGAGTAAACATATCTATTCTATTTAAAGCTTCTTTCATAACTACTAAAATTTAGCTCAAGATTGTCATCTTTGATTGTTAGATTGACAAAAGAAGTCCAAGAATAAAATTTTTTAAATGTAAGTTAAATAAAATAAAATAAAATTGAGTTGACTTTAGGGGATTGCTTGGGATACTTATCCAATAGATTTATATGAGTTTTAAATTCTAATTGAAAAATTAAATTTAATAAATAATAGCCTAGGCTCTAAAATTTACACTTCTGTCTGCTGATCTACTTATTGGATATGAGCAGAAGGCGAACCATGTGATTACAAATTCTTGAGGCTGATATCTGCTTAAGGGTAGTCTCCAACATACGGGTAGATATGTTACTACAGCGCAGGAAAAAGTATGATTTCTGAGACTACTAATAAGTATATCCGATAAGGTGGCTTATACACAAAGATATGTGATGATTAAAATAAACAAGGATATTAAGTTCTGGACCTTATTTTAAAATTAGCTTATTTAATTTGGATGCATGGAGCAGTTATGCTGTGATGACATTGTCAATCTGGTTTGGGCACCTAAGGATACTAAAAATTTGAAGAAAAATTTAGAACCCCCTCAAGCAATATCATACTCCATCATGACTAAAATTTATCATGAAAGTTCTCGAACTTGCTAAAAAAGAGATAAAAAATATTTACTCATCTAAAGTAAATATTGCTTGAGATAAAATAGTGATTTTATCAACATTATCAAATAACATACAAAATACTCATTTAATCTGATCCAAAAATTAAACAAATATAAGAATAAAATACAAAATAATGATTAGAGCGAGTTTAATAAGCTATTTTGAGTTTATAAAAGTAAAGTGCTTAAATTAGAATATTCANGCTCAATATTATGGAAATATGAAAGGGTATTATAGTAAAAGTATGGGATTGAGTTTTGAAAGTACATAAAATATACACAGAGGAAAAGTATAAATTGAACTAACTGCTGTTAGACAATATTTACTATTGAATTAACTGCATAGTCGCCTAGTCTATAAGAATTATTAACTGAAGTTGTTGTTCAAAATCAAATTACAGTCATAGAGTTGACACACAATTATCAAATCTTACTTACTTGTAGCTTTATCATTTGGCCATTCTTCACATCTTAGGTTAAGAATTTTATTAATGGAAATTTGACCATAAGGCTATCATAGATAAAGATACAATTAAATATGAATCATAAGCTAATGAATTAGTACTCAGCATTCATAAAATAAAATTATTTAGAAAATAATTACCTAAATTAGATGAATATATTTACCATTGATGATATTATTTATCAATATAAAGAGTATTTTTATATTAACATTGAGATGAACTACTCTTAACATTACTTAATGAATGATTGGAAATTTTAATTTAAATGGAATCTAAGTTTATAGTCATGTCGAAATGAATTTTAGAAGTTGAGTTTTAATAAAATTTTAATTGTGAGGATAGATTTTATTGATTTTTGAAATTATTTCAATGTCAATTGATATACATAAAATAATCAGAATTCCATGTAATTAAATTTAGTTTGATTATTTTATTAAAGTAGGATTTCTGATTAATTTAATCATTTTTTGATCATTTATTTTATCATATTACAAATAATGAATCTCAGTAATATTTTATGTAGTTTCCATTTACTTTAATTTTAAAATTGTTATTCTAGCATATTCACAAAAAGATATTTATAAGCTTAATTTAGGAAAATATAATTACAAAGATCATTTTAAGAGAGAAGTTTTTTTTTGAATTTCAATATTATTGAATAAATAGAGGATAAAAATTAATTATCCTAAGAGTTAAAAATATAATTTTATTTAATATTAAACTAATAAAGCATAAAGTATTATTCTAAAATTTAAATGTTTATTATATTAAAATTTAATTATTCATAATTGTGTAAATAGATATTATTACAAAGAGAGTAAACATATCTATTCTATTTAAAGCTTCTTTCATAACTACTAAAATTTAGCTCAAGATTGTCATCTTTGATTGTTAGATTGACAAAAGAAGTCCAAGAATAAAATTTTTTAAATGTAAGTTAAATAAAATAAAATAAAATTGAGTTGACTTTAGGGGATTGCTTGGGATACTTATCCAATAGATTTATATGAGTTTTAAATTCTAATTGAAAAATTAAATTTAATAAATAATAGCCTAGGCTCTAAAATTTACACTTCTGTCTGCTGATCTACTTATTGGATATGAGCAGAAGGCGAACCATGTGATTACAAATTCTTGAGGCTGATATCTGCTTAAGGGTAGTCTCCAACATACGGGTAGATATGTTACTACAGCGCAGGAAAAAGTATGATTTCTGAGACTACTAATAAGTATATCCGATAAGGTGGCTTATACACAAAGATATGTGATGATTAAAATAAACAAGGATATTAAGTTCTGGACCTTATTTTAAAATTAGCTTATTTAATTTGGATGCATGGAGCAGTTATGCTGTGATGACATTGTCAATCTGGTTTGGGCACCTAAGGATACTAAAAATTTGAAGAAAAATTTAGAACCCCCTCAAGCAATATCATACTCCATCATGACTAAAATTTATCATGAAAGTTCTCGAACTTGCTAAAAAAGAGATAAAAAATATTTACTCATCTAAAGTAAATATTGCTTGAGATAAAATAGTGATTTTATCAACATTATCAAATAACATACAAAATACTCATTTAATCTGATCCAAAAATTAAACAAATATAAGAATAAAATACAAAATAATGATTAGAGCGAGTTTAATAAGCTATTTTGAGTTTATAAAAGTAAAGTGCTTAAATTAGAATATTCAAATATGTAAATAAGATTTTTAATAAACAAATCTTGATAAAAATTCTATTAAAGTCTTAAATTAGTTTTAAATTATGTAGAGTCGGTTTATAAATTTTGATGAGATTATAAAGTAGTTTGTATGTTTTCCCCGCCTGCTCGGGGAAAAAATTTAAAGATAAAAAAATTTTATATATTCCATATTTTAATTCTCCTATAAATTTTCTTGATCAATTACAAAAGAAATACATGAAATTTTTTTCTATAGACCTTAATAATACAAAAGTGAGATTCAATGCTTATCAAATTAGCTAGAAAATTAAAATTATGTCAATAAAAAAAAGTTTGGATGGTTGTCCATGTCTGTAATTTCTACTGGCCTAGTCCTCCCAAGTTGGTGAATTTTTTAAGGTAAAATAATTTTCTCTTACTATTTAATTTCTATCTTCTTCTTTTCTTAATAAAACATAGTTGTATTTAAAAATTTTGTAGAAATAAATACTGAATCTATTGTTGAACTCAATATATCGTTGACGAATTGAAAAATAAAGTTGAAGAATGTCAAAAGGGTTTAATAAGATTTCGATGTAGGCTATCTAAATATTCAGGATTAGTCATATTTTCATTATAATGTAGGGTAAATATTCCATACATTTAACTAGAATGTAATGAAAACTTTGGAAAATATGTACTTACTGGTCTTAAGTAGAGAAGATCAAGAGCTACTTAAAAGACATAATTAATAAAATAGAAATTTTTTGTATATATAATTTTAATTTCGTTGATAGAAATCAAATTCACTTTTACTATAAGTCTTCTAAAAAGCAACTTCCTTTTTGTTTAAATATGGTCTTTAAATCGATACCTGATTGATTTGAAAATTCTCCTTTCAGAATTAATGCTCCTTTAACTTAGAATATTGCCATTTTGGATATAAGAAGTGTATTTTGGTATCTGGAGACTATAAATATTAAAAATATAAATATTACTTTCTGAAAAATGACTATTTTATTGGAGCTAAATTATAAATTATTTAATAATATCTTTGTATTTTTTATCGGACGATTTGATTTCTTATCCATTCTTGACTTCCCATAGATGGATAGATTTATCATAATTACCAGAAGCTAATCTTTAACCATCAGGAGAGAAACAGACTGATTAGACCCAACTAGTACCACTATCTAATTTGACTTTTTATTATCCTGTTTTGACATCCCATAGACGGATAGACTAATCATCACTCCCAGAAGCTAATGTATTCCCATCAGGAGAGAAACAGACTGAGTTAATACAACCACTATGACCATCTAATTTGGCTTTTTATTATCCTGTTTTGACATCCCATAGACGGATAGACTAATCATCACTCCCAGAAGCTAATGTATTCCCATCAGGAGAGAAACAGACTGAGTTAATACAACCACTATGACCATCTAATTTGGCTTTTTATTATCCTGTTTTGACATCCCATAGACGGATAGACTAATCATCACTCCCAGAAGCTAATGTATTCCCATCAGGAGAGAAACAGACTGAGTTAATACAACCACTATGACCATCTAATTTGGCTTTTTATTATCCTGTTTTGACATCCCATAGACGGATAGACTTATCTACACTACCAGAAGCTGATGTATATCCATCAGGAGAAATACAGACTGATCTAACAGTACCACTATGACCATCTAATTTGGCTTTTTATTACCCTGTTTTGATATCCCATAGACGGACAGACTTATCATTACTAGCAGAAGCTAATGTTTTTCCATCAGAAGAGAAACTAACTGAGTTAACATATCTAGTATGACCTTCCAGTTTGGCTTTTTATTATCCTGTCTTTACATCCCATAGACGGATAGAATTATCATTACTACCAGATGCTAATATATCTAAATCAGAAGAGAAATAGACTGAGTAGGCAGTTCCACTTTCACTATCTTACTTGACTTTTTATTATCCTGTATTAACATCCCATAGTCGGATAGACTTATCTTCACCACCAGATGCTAATGTATTCCATCATGAGAGAAACAAACTGAAATAACATAACGGATATGACCATCCAACATGGCTTTCTATTATCCTGTTTTGCCATCCCATAGACGGATAAACTTATCATCACTTCCAGAAGCTATCATATTTCCATCATAAGAAAAACAGACTGAGTTGACAGTTCCGCGATGGCCATCCAATTTAGATATTTTTTTCTAACTCATAACATCCCATAGGCAAATAAATTTATCTTCACTACCAGATGCTAATGCATTTCCATCAGGTGAGTAACAGACCGACGTGATTGCACTAGAATGGCCATTTAATTTGGCTTTTTATTATCCTGTTTTGACATCCCATAGACGAATAGACTTATCATTACTACAAGAGGCTAATGTATTTCCATCAGGAGAAAAACAGACTGATCTAACAGTGTTAGTATGACCATCAAACTTGTCTTTTTATTATCCTGTTTTGACATCCCATAGACGAATTGAGTTATCACCTTATTTCAAATGGTTTCCGCTTCCACCTACAGAAGCTAATGTATTTCCACAAGGAGAGAAACAGACTGAGTTGACTGCACTTGGATTGTCATTCAATTAATTTAATTCTAGAATTCTTAAGTTCTTCCATAAACAATTTAACAATAAAGCTCCATTCAAATTCACCCCATTTATATTAACATTATTAAATTTGGATCCACTAAAATTACACCTAAAAAAATTAGCTCCTACTAATGAAGTATTTTAAATCTTAATATTTTCAAAATTTTTGTATCTAAGGTCAGCCTTCATCTCAACTAATATATGTAATGAATTTCACCCACATTATATTAGAGTGTTATCTATAGATGTAAGATGGACTAAAAAGTACAGAAATTCTATGATGAATTTATCATTCTTGATGCTATTTATTAGACTTAATGTAGATTCTTCATTTTTTTCAGAGGAAAAGTCTTTATAATTGAAGTCATGGTCTTTTAATTTTTTTAAGACTTCTATAATTTATTTCATATCATTTCTAACAACAGACAATATCTATTCTTAATCAGCTTGGAGGAAATTCTATATTTTTAGTAAGATTTATGATTCTAATTGTGTCTGATTCTAAATATATGATAGGAATCCAATGCAATCATAAACTTTTTCCTTTCTAAATATTTCTAATATGACAGCGAATATGTGTTCGTTTATATCTTTTACTTAATAAAAAATTTCAGCTAGAGCTTCCTTCACTTAAAAAGAGCCTTTCATTTTCTTTTTTATTTTTAATATTGAATTGTTATTACTCTAACTTTAGGTTATCTACTGCAATATCGAGAAAAGTATCTTGGGCATTTCTATAAAATTAGTCCAGACTTTGTGCACATTTAAAATGATTAAACTTGATATAAAATATGCTTTAGAAAAATCAATTAAAAATTTGCATTGATTGTTATTTATTAAAATAAATAACCTTATTTGTTATATGAATATTTTAATTTCTAAATCATTTGAGTCTTATGATTAATTAATTCATTCTTCTTGTTTATCAACTATTAAAGCATAATTATTGATTTCTACTTTCAATTTAAAGATTGTAATATTTTTTAAAATTTTTGTTCATTCCTTATAATTTGTAAAATGCATATTTGAAGTAACGTGAGATCTTTCTAATTAGTATTAATAAATACTAATAGTTAGTTCTGGTATTTCCATGAATAGCTTTCTACTCTTCGTTTATCTTAGTTTAATAATGGGTTTGGATACCTCTCTACTATACCACCGAAGGCAATAGAGAAGAGAGGAGAAGATGCAGGAGGAGAGAAGCGTGAGGAATTTATAACCAACTTTAAAATTAAATCAAGTTAAAAAAAAAAATGAATTTCTATTAATAAAGAATTAAAAAATATTTATAAACCTTATTGATGAAAAGTGAATAAAATTATCATTTTGTAATCTTCAACAATAACATATACGTATATATGCGTATCTCATGTTTAGAAATCAAAAATAAAATTATTCTAACATAATCAACTATGAATTATTACCTTCAATCATTGAATACTGTTTTCCTCTTTTTTCTTTTAATAAAGTAAAAATATTTTGAGTGATGTCATAATGAATTTAACAAACTTTAATTTTTCTGGTTGATGTATTCATCAAAAATTCAGTCAAGGGATATTTTTTTCTTGACATTAATTTTTCGTTAAAATTATTTGGAGTTAATGTGCGAGTCTAGAGTCCTAACTTTTTGAATGGCCGCATACAAATCTCGGAGATTTATAAATGTTTATTCTTCATAGATATTTAAAAGTATTTTTGAAAGTTGCCATTTTTGATGTATGTAAGAATTCACTTAGAGCTTAATTTAATCAGTAACTAACATTATTAGATAATCTTTAAGAAAGATATAATTATTTCCTTAAATCTTAATCCTTTCAATAATACCATGCATCTTGATGATTAAAATATATTTTCAGTATTGTATATTATGTAATACTTTTGATATCAATTAACAAATAATAATATATGGTTATCGATATATTACTTCGAATAGAGTACTATTATATAAAAAAAATCAATTTTTAATTTTTAACTTTTTTGTTTTTTAGATAAATTTCATTTTTGTGAAAACTGGAAAAGATGGAAGTTTAAGGTGTTTATATTAAATTGAAGATGTTACTAAGTAATTTTTTAAATGCATTATTTTATTTATTTATCATGCATATAATTAACTAAATTTAGTTATTATTATTCTTGTTTTTTTTCAATATCTTAGAAAGTACTGCTACAAAAATACTCAAATTGGCAATATGTAGTTCATCATCATTAAATTGCCTTCCTATCAAAATTTTTAAACTTTTTTTTAAGTGTAATTAATGCAATACAACCAATGCTCCTTAAATAAAATTTCTATAATAACGCTATCAGAGTAATTTTCAATAAGATGTCGATTTTCCATTAATTCAAATATTTCAGATTTCTATATAGATTTTAAAATCAAGTGATAGTAATAATTTTTTAGAAAATCTAAACAAGAAAATTAAACTTAAAAATCAGTTAATATCAATTTGTATCGAAAAAATGTTCATTTATTATAATAAATAAAATAACAAGGGTTTATAAAGATTACTACTAAACCTTATAGTCATATTATTTTTACAATTATTCAGTTAAACAGCATTTTTGGACTGTCAATCAATAATTAAGAAGTAGATTTAAACAAAATTGATCATGAAAAATATATGGATATATCAACAATTATGAAAAAATACTTAATAGAATTATTAATTAAAAATGGTTCCTTTATTTAATTTATTTAATCAATAAGCATAAGAATTATAGTTGATTAAGTATATAATTAAATTTAAACACAGAGAACTTCATAATTCTTTACTTCTTTTTAACTCTTCTTATGCTTCTTATCCACCTTAAATTAATAAATTGTTTAATTCATTACACTTTTATTTTTTGGATCCTTTTGTCTATGATTTAAGTTCTATTATTTATAAATCTCTTATCATTATCTATGCTTAAATATGACAATAAAAATTAATACAAATAATAAGAACTACTCTATTGTAATTTTTATTTATTGATTTTCTTCTCAATTGATTATTTTCTAAGAATAATTAATGCAATATATCAAATCCTTGAATATCAAATTTAGACAATTCTTCAATTGATGTCTATTTTCGTGATTATTTAATTATTGATTGACTTATCTTGAGAATTCTGTTGTTATTAGTATTTTGAATATATTCGTTAGATCTTAAAATCTACTAATATGATATTGTCATCACTAATAATCGTCATAGCAGTACTTCAGGATTGTTAGGGTGATTAAGTATAATCATTTATGATAAAAATTTGAATTTCATACTACCATGTTATTATCCAAGTGCTAATTTATTTTAAAATGCAACAATAAGATTGGATTTTTAGTAGAATATGCAAATATTAAATGCGCCTGTTCTATTTTTAATTAAGTCTCCTTGTATTCATTTTAATTTTTTTTTGAGTATACTGAAAAAAGAGAAAAATGATGATTTGAAATGCTATTATTTTATNTTTTTTCAATATCTTAGAAAGTACTGCTACAAAAATACTCAAATTGGCAATATGTAGTTCATCATCATTAAATTGCCTTCCTATCAAAATTTTTAAACTTTTTTTTAAGTGTAATTAATGCAATACAACCAATGCTCCTTAAATAAAATTTCTATAATAACGCTATCAGAGTAATTTTCAATAAGATGTCGATTTTCCATTAATTCAAATATTTCAGATTTCTATATAGATTTTAAAATCAAGTGATAGTAATAATTTTTTAGAAAATCTAAACAAGAAAATTAAACTTAAAAATCAGTTAATATCAATTTGTATCGAAAAAATGTTCATTTATTATAATAAATAAAATAACAAGGGTTTATAAAGATTACTACTAAACCTTATAGTCATATTATTTTTACAATTATTCAGTTAAACAGCATTTTTGGACTGTCAATCAATAATTAAGAAGTAGATTTAAACAAAATTGATCATGAAAAATATATGGATATATCAACAATTATGAAAAAATACTTAATAGAATTATTAATTAAAAATGGTTCCTTTATTTAATTTATTTAATCAATAAGCATAAGAATTATAGTTGATTAAGTATATAATTAAATTTAAACACAGAGAACTTCATAATTCTTTACTTCTTTTTAACTCTTCTTATGCTTCTTATCCACCTTAAATTAATAAATTGTTTAATTCATTACACTTTTATTTTTTGGATCCTTTTGTCTATGATTTAAGTTCTATTATTTATAAATCTCTTATCATTATCTATGCTTAAATATGACAATAAAAATTAATACAAATAATAAGAACTACTCTATTGTAATTTTTATTTATTGATTTTCTTCTCAATTGATTATTTTCTAAGAATAATTAATGCAATATATCAAATCCTTGAATATCAAATTTAGACAATTCTTCAATTGATGTCTATTTTCGTGATTATTTAATTATTGATTGACTTATCTTGAGAATTCTGTTGTTATTAGTATTTTGAATATATTCGTTAGATCTTAAAATCTACTAATATGATATTGTCATCACTAATAATCGTCATAGCAGTACTTCAGGATTGTTAGGGTGATTAAGTATAATCATTTATGATAAAAATTTGAATTTCATACTACCATGTTATTATCCAAGTGCTAATTTATTTTAAAATGCAACAATAAGATTGGATTTTTAGTAGAATATGCAAATATTAAATGCGCCTGTTCTATTTTTAATTAAGTCTCCTTGTATTCATTTTAATTTTTTTTTGAGTACAATGATAAGCATAAGCATTTTAAAGGAACCTAAGATCATGAGTAGGAGGAGTAGAAGAAATATTTAGAGTATTTCTTAAAAAAGTAATAAGAAAGAGAATATAGATGAAGGGGAAAATTGATAATGTCTTTGGAAAATATTTAAATAAAGGAAAGTCAGCGAACTTTGGTGAATAATTAATAGAAAAGACAAAGAGAAGAGAGACGAGAAAAAGGAGAATAATAAAAGCTCAGGCTTATGATTCAAAACTGACTAGGAATTTTATTAGTAAAATATTTACATAATTTTGATTATTTGAGTGTGTAGGTATCATAAAGCTTTTTTTAAAATTTGGAAGATATACTTTAATTTATTAGATATGCACTAAAGGTTGACAGACCATTAGTAAAAATTTAAAGAAGTGATGAAAAACTTTCAAAGTTTGAGGAATCACGATTGAAAGATTACTTCTATGTAAATTGAATGAGGAATCGATAAGTATTAGGGATACTTCAATATAGTTTTGGAGAAAACAGAAGCGAAAATTGATTTGATACAGTGAAATTTGATTTATAGATAAAGAATGGGGAAAATGAGAGAGGAATGAGAATCTTAAGTAAGCGTAGGAAAGTAAATAGGAAGGATAAGAAAGCATAAAAATTGAAAAGTAACAACTATCCTCAATTTATTTTGGTTTAGAAGATTGTATGATTGAAAAAATTGAGAGTTTTTGAGGAAGAGGACTAAATAAAAAAGGAAAATAAACTAAAATAAGAGAAGAGTTGATAGTTGTATCTTCAAAAAGATTCTTTTCGAAAATTACTCTATATCTACAGAGAGATCAGCTTAAATCAACATGTATTGACTAGTTTTTATAAGGTAGTATCATACTAAACTTTCATGATTTACATTTCTAATCTCAATTTCTTGTATTAAATTCAACCTTAATAGAATAAAATAAAGCATAATTCAAAATGAATTTGAACAGTTAATAATATCAATCGAGAAATTCAAAAAAATTGTGCTTCGATCAAGTTGATTTGATGTTTTAATTAAATAAAAGCCTTTTTAAATAAATTAAAAAAATTAAGAATCAGTAAGTAATTTAAGGAGAGTAAGGAATATAAGAAGTATAGTAAGAGAAAGTGGAATAATATCAAAGAAAAAAAGTTGTGAATTGATGCATTTTAAAATTTCTCATTTTTGATTGTTTAATTCAGAATTTTTTTATAGAAGTATTGAGAATTTATTCTGTAGCATTAAGCAAATTTAATTATTTTGAAAATTTAAAATACGAGTAAACAATTATATGAAAATATGAATAATAACAAAAACAATTGTATTATGAAAATTTTTGAATGAATTGAAACCATTTGTAATAAAACTAGGAATGCAAAATTATAATTGATACCAGTGCATCTAATTTTCATAGGGACTTGATCCTAAATTGAGATTGAATAAGAGAGAATAATCTGAAATGGTTTTAATAAAAGTTTTTTAGAGAATTCATATTAAATTAAGATATTTCTATTCTAAAGATCACTCATAAACTTATTGATATTGAAGTTACTTTAATAGATTTTGATTTAATTAAATTAGCTTCTCTTTTAATCTTACAAATATAAGGGTAAGGAGTACGATAGTGACTTAAGAACTTCTTTGGAGGATGTAATGAAGGAAGATCAATTTAGGTGACTTCATCAATCATTAATGTATCCATAAATTAAAGATTGCCTACTTTAGAAAAAAGCTCTATAAAATCAAGTGTGATGAATCAAAAAATTGAGTTTCTTCTCATTTGCAGAATTTTAAATTGCTTGAAAAATTTCATAGATAATTTAAGACAATTAGAATTGTTCGCTCTTCCTGAGTTATACTTAATATATGAGGTTCTAGTAGTATAAGGTATCAAAAAAAGAAATAGCATACAAAAGTTCAGGATGTGTTGAAAAACCTAAAATAATTCATAAAATAATTAAAGATAGAATAATAATAAAAATAAATTTTAATTGTCTGATGAGTAACAGAGAAATTAAATTGAATTTAATTAAGTCACGTCTACTGGTGCACTGAACTCTTTATTAATGAAAAGCTTCATGAAGTTATTCTAGAAACTCATAAAAGTTCAAGCACAACAGATTGATCTATCAAATTGGAGCAAGACATTGAAATAAAAATTTGGAGACGAAGTCTGATATCAATAATTGAAGCACGAACAGGTTTTAAAAATTTCAAAGATTTATTCAAAAAATAATTGCAACATATGGCAAAAATTTATCAAATGGTTGGAAATAAAAAAACAAAATAGATTGGCTCAGCCAATTTAACAAAAAAAAAACAAGATATAGTAGGAGCAGCAGTAGAATTAGGAAAGAAAGTGAATCATATTTTGTTAGATTATATTTGTTTATAGAAGAAATTATTTTTTGATAAAAACGAGAGGAGTAATAAATTCATAATGTAGATTTGAAAAGAGCAAAACTCAAATTAAATTTAAAAAGGAATAAGAGACAGGAGAATAGAAAAGCTCTTACTAGGATGTTAGGAGATGATACATAGTTCACGTTCTTCAATAAAGACAGTAGGATTTTCAACTCCAAACACAGTTTCATTTTTTGAATTATACTAAAAGAATGCTTTCAAGAATCTTCTCTTGCTACGCTGTAATGACTACTTTGGAGAATAGGATGGCAAGAAAACCAAAATACTTAATTGGGGATAAATGCAATAATGAAGTTGAATTAGTAAGAGAATACTTTGAAGCTCAAACAACTGTGATTAAAGAGTGGGTCAAGACTGGCATAATATTGCCTTCTATAGAATGGCAGTAAAATAATAGGGGATAAATAAAAAAGTTTAATTTTGACTGATTGGATATTGTACCCTTTTTTGCGATGCTTATTTAGAGAATGTTAATAAAAATTAGTTTTAAAATTATAAAAATTTGAGTTATTTTTAAGTAAAATTACAATTAATATATTCATTAGAATTCTCTACCTCTCTTAATATGGTCAGTTTCTTTAGAATAAAGTTAAGCTTTAGTTGATGGTTTAATTAAGCAATATCTTACGATTTAATGGAACTTAGTCATAAATACTAAGAAAAATCTGACATTAAATTAGACTATTAGCTCATTTTCTCATCCAGCAATCTAAGATAAAACTTTAAGTAATAAAAAAGAAGTTATGATGTTTGCAGAATGAAAAAACTAATTTGATTGATAATATATTAAAGTTTGTAAGAAATGTTTAATGAAAGTTATTTTTACACTCAAGTAATTAAATTATAATATTACCTCTTAAATTGAATTTTCACATTATATGGTTATTTATCTATTATTGTGCTTTAAGAGATTCAATTTTATTTTATATTTCCAATTTATATAATAACATTCTTGTTTTAAATTTTAAGATGAAAATTGTAATTAACAACATTCTCAAATTTATTATTTTGCCCCTAATAATCTTAGGCATATTTTACTAAGTTTTNGCCAATTTAACAAAAAAAAAAACAAGATATAGTAGGAGCAGCAGTAGAATTAGGAAAGAAAGTGAATCATATTTTGTTAGATTATATTTGTTTATAGAAGAAATTATTTTTTGATAAAAACGAGAGGAGTAATAAATTCATAATGTAGATTTGAAAAGAGCAAAACTCAAATTAAATTTAAAAAGGAATAAGAGACAGGAGAATAGAAAAGCTCTTACTAGGATGTTAGGAGATGATACATAGTTCACGTTCTTCAATAAAGACAGTAGGATTTTCAACTCCAAACACAGTTTCATTTTTTGAATTATACTAAAAGAATGCTTTCAAGAATCTTCTCTTGCTACGCTGTAATGACTACTTTGGAGAATAGGATGGCAAGAAAACCAAAATACTTAATTGGGGATAAATGCAATAATGAAGTTGAATTAGTAAGAGAATACTTTGAAGCTCAAACAACTGTGATTAAAGAGTGGGTCAAGACTGGCATAATATTGCCTTCTATAGAATGGCAGTAAAATAATAGGGGATAAATAAAAAAGTTTAATTTTGACTGATTGGATATTGTACCCTTTTTTGCGATGCTTATTTAGAGAATGTTAATAAAAATTAGTTTTAAAATTATAAAAATTTGAGTTATTTTTAAGTAAAATTACAATTAATATATTCATTAGAATTCTCTACCTCTCTTAATATGGTCAGTTTCTTTAGAATAAAGTTAAGCTTTAGTTGATGGTTTAATTAAGCAATATCTTACGATTTAATGGAACTTAGTCATAAATACTAAGAAAAATCTGACATTAAATTAGACTATTAGCTCATTTTCTCATCCAGCAATCTAAGATAAAACTTTAAGTAATAAAAAAGAAGTTATGATGTTTGCAGAATGAAAAAACTAATTTGATTGATAATATATTAAAGTTTGTAAGAAATGTTTAATGAAAGTTATTTTTACACTCAAGTAATTAAATTATAATATTACCTCTTAAATTGAATTTTCACATTATATGGTTATTTATCTATTATTGTGCTTTAAGAGATTCAATTTTATTTTATATTTCCAATTTATATAATAACATTCTTGTTTTAAATTTTAAGATGAAAATTGTAATTAACAACATTCTCAAATTTATTATTTTGCCCCTAATAATCTTAGGCATATTTTACTAAGTTTTACTTAAGCGTCACTAAAATACAACGAAATTTAAAACTCAATTATATTAAATTGCATAAATCTTATTGGATTCAATGAATTAATGTTTAATTTATAAATCATACCTTTTACAATTCTACAATTATCGCACTTAATTTAAAATTAGAATTAAGAGATACTTATATTCGATAAAATTCTTTTCATTCTTCATAGTTTTTGATTATTGTTCAGAAACTAATTTTGTCAACAATTCCACGTTTAATAGATAACCTTGAAGTAATTGGAAAAAATTTCCAAACTTGAAACCTATTTTTAATTTTTTCCATTTTTTCAACTGAAACTCTGGCTATTACTATTGAAAACACTTTTTTAATTCACAATTATAATTAATTTAATCAATATGGATTTAAATAATTTTTTTATGTAAGTTTTTTATTAATTTATTCTAAATGTAGTGATTATATCTCATAATTATAAACTTCTGATTTTATATTTATCAGAAAATTAACATAAAATAATTGAAAATCAAGATCTGAGATTCTCTCTACTTAGTTTATAATCAAATATATAATTAAACATTTTCTTGCAAAATATTTCATATGTTAGAATAATTTTTATTCTTACCTAAATTATGTAATAAGCACTTTTGCAAGCTTATTATAAATTTGATCTTCTTTAAGTTCTTTAGAAATTAATGATTAATTTAACTACTAAAATGCAATAACTAATACTTCAAATACGTTTGTCATACTCTATTCAAATAAACTGAAATTTTCCAATTATATCATACAATAATTCAATAATAAAATTATTTAACAGAGGAAATATGGTGTACATATTAATATGTGAAATTTGATTAAAATCAAACGTGAGAGAATTTTAATAAAGTGATATTTTCAATCCTAAAATAGGCAATATTGGAGGAGCAGGAAAATTATAAGTTTCAAATATTATCTGTATCGATTGCTTTTCGAGCATATACTTGCTTAAGAAAGTTTTGTTTTTGATATTTCAATTGCTCGAAAAGGTTTGATATACTTGTTAACTTAACAGTTAATTATGCACAAAATAATTTAGAATCTTGAGAAAATATTAAGGGTGCATCTACATTTATTCGAATAAAAGTGAATTGAATTTAATCTGTAAAATGTATAAAATAAAATGTAGAAAGCAATTATGCATTAATTTCAATCGATAGTTGCAGCATAATATGATAAGTATTAAATAATTTATGGAATATATTTTTCACCTATAATGAAATTTTTTAAATATTACTTAAAATTTGTTGAAAAGAATTGAAAATATACTGATATTGTATTAATTCACTCTTGTCAATATATTCTAAATGATGACAAGAAAATCAATAATTAAAATAAATTAATATTTAGAAAGTTTCAGTTGATTAAACTAGCTTGATTGATATAGAATTTACTTTTTATTAAAATCCATTATACAATTCAATTCTCACTCGCCAAGGTATAAATTATTCTTTAATAAACGACATGAAAGAAGATTTGTTTTTGTTAGAAGTCTATTTTTTAAGAAATTATTTCTATTTTTTATATTATATAGAAAATAATTGTAAGCAGTTTTGGATAGGAATGATGTTTATCGAAATAGAAGAGTTTAAAGAGATAAAAATATCAAACTTAAATTGTATCTATAACACAATAAAAAAATGTGATTGTTTTATTTTGCCAGAAAAATATGATAATTTACTTTAGATGCATATTAGGAAAACCATGCATACTTATTAATATCTTTATTTTACAGATTTAATAAAAATGAAAACGGTTTCATGCATTAAATTTGGGCAAATGCTAAAAATATCAACTTAGAGAATTTTATGTAAATGAAAGTTGTTAGCTTTATCAAAAATTTTATTCTCTCACTTACAATACTAGAAAATGTTCAATTTTTGAAAAGACTAAGTTTTCAAAAATTACATCGAATATGGTAGAATTCATACCTCACCATTAGATTTTACTGAAAAATACTTTAAAAATCAAGCTTTTGCTAAAATGGATATTAAGGTGATTATAATCTTTGCATCTCAAAACATCTTATGTGTCAAGATATTTATATTGTTTAATTGCATATATTTACAAAAGGAGAGATTAATAGATCTTGGAATAAAACATGCTTAAGCATTAAAAACTCTTACTTTATTTTATAAAACCATTAAAATTTCTTGTATTCTCATATTGAAACATAAGAAAATGATGATAAGGAAGATTTATAAAATATATGCAATATAAAAAAGAAGATTTTGGAATTATAATTTTATTTCAATAATGCTCATTTTCTTCTAAGTGATCAATTCTACTTTGAGTTAAATTAGTTTTTCAAAATTAAACTACCTTTTTGTATAAATAGTGTCGTTAAATCAATCCCTGATTAATTTACAAACTCACTTTTCAAGATTAAAGCGCCCTATGCTTAAAAAACTACTTACTATGATATTAATAAAATATTTATATTGGTGGTTGCTAAAAGATAATATCAAATTTATACTTAAAATAGGGTTTCTTTATGATAGTGGATGCTAGTGTAGTTCCATCAGGAGAGAAGCATACAGTGTTGACAGTACTACTATGACCATCCAACTTGACCTTTTCTTGCCCTGTCTTAACATCCCATAAACGGATAGAGTTATCTCTAATACTAGAAAAAAAAGAAATATTTCCACCACCTGATGCTAAAGTAGTTCCATCAGGGGAGAAGCTTACTGATAGAACTGAGTCACTATGACCATCAAATTTGGCCTTATATTATTCTGTCTTAACATCCCATAAACGAATAGACTTATCATAACTTCCAGATGCTAATATAGTTCCATCGCAAAAGAAGCATACTGAATTTACACAATCATCATGACCATCAAATTTAGCTTTTTTTTATCCTGTCTTAACATCCCATAAACAAATAGACTTATCATAACTTCCAGATGCTATTGTCGTTCCATCAGGAGAGAAGCATACAGAGTTTATAGTACTACTATGACCATCCAACCTGCCCTTTTATTCTCCTGTCTTCACATCCCATAAACGAATAGACTTATCATAACTTCCAGATGCTAATAAAGTACCATCAGGAGAGAAGCATATTGATCGGGCATAATCCCTATGATCAACCATTTTGCACATTTATTATTATCCTGTCTTAACATTCATTAAAACGATAGAGTTATCAATACTACCTGATGCTAATAGACTACCATCAGGAGAGAAGCATACTGATAAAATTCCATCCTTATGACTAATTATTTTAGCAATTTTTTTTCTTGTCTTAACATCCCATAAAATGATAGACTTATCCTAACTACCAGATGCTAATAGACTACCATCAGGAGAGAAGCATACTGATAAAATTCCATCCTTATGACTATTCATTTTAGCAACTTTTTTTCTTGTCTTAACATCCCATAAAAAGACAGACTTATCCTAACTACCAGATGCTAATAGACTACAATCAGGAGAGAAGCATACTGAATTGACTCCACTGCTATGGGCATCCAATTTGGCTTTTTATTATCCTGTCTTAACATCCCATAAACGGATAGACTTATCCTAACTACCAGATGCTAATGTAGATCCATCGGAAGAAACGCATACCGACTTTACATCACCAGTATGACCTTCTAATTTATAAAGCTCAAATATTTTCAAATTTTTCCATTTACAATTAAAAAGCAAAGCCTCATTTAGATTAACCCCACTTATGTCTACATTATCAAGTTCAGATCCACTTAAGTTGCATCTCACAAAATTAGCTCCCACTAAAGAAGTATTTTTAATTCTAATATTTTCAAAGTTTTAATTTCTTAGGTCCACCTTCATCTAAGCTAATAAATTTAATGAGTTTGATCCGCATTGTATTAAATTATCATTTAAGGCTGTAAGGTGAACTAAGAATTTCAAAAATCCTATTATCTACTTTTAATCATTTATTCTATTTATTAGAACCTGTCTCTATTCCAAATACCATTCTTCAGTATAGTCATATTTATTAAAGTCATGATTTTCTATTTTTTGAATGACATAAAAAATTTATTTGATGTTATTTCTCCCAAAACGCTATGTAAATTCATTTTCTTCTTGTGTTGAATTCTATCCTTTTTAAAAGTATTCTTCTAAATAATTTTGATTTTCAGTATCTGAAAGATATCCCAGACAGCTTAATACATTTTGTTTTCTCAACTTTTCAATTATCTAACAATATATTTGGTCATCAACATCCTTAACTTAAGTGAAAATCTAAACTAGATCTTCCTTCTACTCATTAGAGTCATTCATCTTTCTTATTGTTAAAAAAATTATTCAATTTCTATTACTTTAATTTAAAGTTATATTTTGAAAATCGAAAAGTATCTTATTTATTTTTGCTAAGGTGAATACCATAGATTTGTTAAGGTTTTGAGTTTTCTGTATTAGTTTTAAAATCAGTCAGCAAGACAGTAGATCAAAATTTGAAAAGCTTCTTTCACAAAAAATATAGAATAAATAGTTTTTCTTTTGAAGAATTGTGAATTATTAATAATTAATTTATAAACGAAAATCAAATTCTATAATTGTTAATTTTCATTTTTACTCTTTAATCAGAAGTAATAATGTAGTTTTTTATCTGATTATTTAGAGAAAGGAAAAAAACATGATTAAAATCTGGCTCGCTCCTTAATATTTGAAATAATTTCAATTGGATATAAAAGCGAATAATTTACAAAAAGCAATTATGTATTTCATTAAATAAATTGATATTTGATTTTTAGAAATTAATATAAAAATTTCAAATTGCAACATTTTCTAATTTTATAAGACTTGGATAATTGAAATTCTAATAAAAGGATTTAAGGTCATATATTGTTTCTTTTAACAAAAGTGTGTAAATATAATTTCTCTCAATGAGTTTATTGCTCGTGGTTATTTTTGGGTTTTAGTTTATAGGATATTGCTTCTAAAATAATAAATCCATTTTAATTTCTTTGTTACTATTTAAATTTTGTCTATTAAAATTGACAATTTCGATTACCATAGGTTGAAAGATTGACATAATAATTTTATTGTCTTTAGACATATATTAGAAAATATCATTTCATGAACAACTACTTAATCTCTTTGTCTATTAAATATTTTATCAAAGATTATATTAATGGTTTTTTAAATATTTTTTAAGTTTTTTCAAGTGTTCTTTTTCATCTAAATTAACAAATTGTTTTATTTGTGTATAAATTATGTGATTATCAAAACCCTTATTTTATTTTTTAAATGGTTAATATATTTTTCTAATTTTTAGATCAAGTAAGTCAATTTAATCTCTATACATTATTTAATTAAAATAAAATAAAGTCTTATAATTTTTGAAATTCCAATAACATTTTATTGTTTACATCTTTAATTTTCATTTATTGAAGATATCTTTTCCATATTTATTTATTGAAATTCATGGATGTCATTTAATTGCAATTATTTGATAAAAATTGATGATTTAGACACATTTTAATCTCATATTTTCTTTCAAACTTATTGCTTCATATCAATTAAAATCTTCTCTTATTTTTTTTAGCATAATTGATATTTATTGAATATAATCAATTAGTAAGCATAAATGTTTCATATTAAATGAAGATAAGAAACTCTTTCAATCTTGTTATTTTTAATGCTGACTTTTCCATATAGCCTTGCTAAAGGAATTATTTACTTGAAATGTATATGTTCAAATTAATTTTTTTAGATTAAAAATATATTTGTTTTTGTTAATTTGCATGTTTTACAAAAAGCAAATTTGTGTTTATTATTAAAGGCTATTTCTTTCATTGTATTTATTAAATTTTCTTTTATCATTAATTCATAAGCAAATAAAGTGAATTATTTAAATGAGATGTAACAAATTAATATTCATCATATGAATATATTATATCTCTCCATATAATACTATTTCGGGCAGTTTAAAAAAAA